CCTCCAGGCGCTGGCTGACGTCTGGAAACAGAGAGACTGGCTATGAAGGAGCATGGTTCACTCCTGTCACCCACCACATCTTTTTGCTTCGTGTAAGTCTCACCCTGGAAGGCCTCGGAATGTTAACTTTGCATCTGTCAGTCCTTCTGAGCGTGATCATCAGCACTCTTTTTTTTCTTTAAGGAAATTAAATCATGTGGAGTTCACGAAACCTAAGGATATTTAAAGTGCATGGAGCGTTGGCCACATGCCCAGGATTCACCTAGTCACCCAGGCATTACTGCACAGGCCGTTTATTTCATAATTTCTCACAAGAAACTGTGGCAATAGCCAGAGATGACAGAGGTGACAGATGAGTCAAGGAGAGAGGGTGACTCAGAGGCAGCCATGTTGGCCCTGCTCGCCACCTGCAACTGGCAGCCTTGAGTGTGCTGGCTTCCATAGAGAGTTATACTTTTGTTTGGATGTTGCTTTAAGGAGATTAAAGGATCTGTATTCCTGGAAGCCTCTTTCTTCATTTCTTCCCCAGGGCCCTTCAGACCATGCTCCAGTTCATTCCTTTGTAATGAGAAGAACTCACATGCCTTGGGAATTTATTCTATGCTGAAAATCACACTCTGTCTTTCACGCCCATTGTCTTATTGACTCCTCACCACTACCGCACAGGTATGATGGTTAACCTCAACTTACAGATGAGGAAACCATGGCATAAAGAAAGTAAGGAATTGGCTAAGGTGAGTCCAGGAATACCTGGTAGAACTGGATGTAGATTGTCTAACTGCAGAGCCCATCCCTCTGACCGTTCTGAAATTCTGCCTCTTTCAGGCAGGAAAGCCTGGAGCTCCCATGTCACAATGATAATCTCGCTCACCTCTGCTGTAAGTCAAAGCTGAGGACTGTTTCAGGATTGGTTTCTCATAAAGCTAGAACTGCAGAAGAGAGGAAATTAGCTGAAGGATGTTCTACGCAATCTTCTTCCTGTGCAGACAGCCAGAGAAAGCCTGGCTCTGGGAACATGTCCTACAGAGCTCCTGCTGCCAGATGCAAGAGGTCTGTGGTTTACCTTCGTAAGGAAGAGAGAACAACGTCTCTGAAAGAGGAAGAGCCAAGTTTAATGACTCTCTTTCAGACTCCACCTCTCTGATTCCTTGTGCAACACTTTTTTTTCCCTTGAGAATATGTGATCACATTTATCACCACAAACACAGCTCTCATCATGCCTCCCACTGTTGAAGGACCTCCAAGAATGATTTCTCTTGGCCCCAGTCAGCAGTCTCCAAACTCATCTGAGCATGGAGCCTCACCAGTTAAAAAGATTTATAATTTGTGTGCCCATATTGATTTATAATATGTGTGTATGCATGTGCGTCAAACCATGCCAATATACTATGCACATTATAAAAATAAAGCAAAAATAGAAATGATAAAAGGAGAGATACATAAGAATTCAAGAATGCTTTAAAATATGTGTTAATCTTCATAACATCATACTATCTTTTCTACCATCCCAAGACATGATCAACACTGTAAGTGGGGTTCATCGTTAATCACAGGAATGTAAACCCATCTTTCAAGCATTCTTCCTGAGAATTTTAAGGGTATTTGATTGATTGATTGATTGATTTGCCTACTGCTTGTTATATGTGATTAGATCATCGTTGGCTTTAACCCCTGAAATGTGGCCAGTGACAAGCCAAGAATAGGAGAAAAATCAGCCCTGCCATTTTCTTGTTGTTTGCTTGTATTTGTTACAAGAGTCATTCTCAATCCATGAGTTCTTTGCAGAAATCTTTCAAAACCACTTGTCCATTTTGTGAAGATTTATTAAGTTAGATAAAGGTAAAGATTCCATAAATCCAAAAAATTATCTAAATGAGAACAGCAGTGTGGGTACCTCATGGACATTCTAGGGCATAGAATCCCTACCCCTCCCTCAGAATAACCATAGTTGGAGATGTGACATGGAATCTTTTGACTTATGCATCTGACATGGGTCCCCTAGTCAATCTATAAAGGAAGTAATATGAATTTTAACTTCTTTTATGTAAATAAAAGTAAATAAAAAAGGAGATTCCAATATGATTTGCACACCCTCCTGGGAGCATGCACTCATCTTTGGAAACTCTTGTACCAAACTCAGAGCCCTCAGCCTTCTGAGATTGGTGACCTACTTCTTTAGCCATACCTCCAACCCTTGCTAACTCCACCCATTCCCATGATCACCCACACACTGCACTGTACAAACACACAGGGCTGGATATCTTTTTCTGAAAACATTCTTCCCCTGAGCCTTTGCTCAGAATGTTCCCTCTGCTTTCCCTTGCTAGCTTTTGAAATTTTACTCAGCCCTAGAGGCTCACCTCAGCCTCCACCTTCTGTGGGAAATAATAACAATATCAACTGACATTCATTGACTTCTTACTACATGTTGGATACTGCATTATCTCATTTAACCTTTACAACAATTGCAGGCGTTAGGCACTATTATGAGAAATCTGAGGAATGGAGAATTGCCCAAAGCCACACAGCTAAGAAACGGGGAAACCAGGAACAAAACACAGGGGGGCTCAAAATGCCCACACTCTAGCACTGTATGTGTGTTTTAATTTGATTTTATTTGTTTGAGCAGGTAAAGTCTACACTAAGCCCTCCCCCTCTTCCCGCTAGTGGGGAGCAGGAATTGTTCTCTCTTCAAGTTTCCAAAGCAGGATGTTTGTAAATATCGTGCAGTACTTACTTCACTTTGCCATATGTTGCTGTCATGGGGGCTCATCTCTCAAATCCCCAACTATACTGTAACCTCTTTAGACAGGAACCACTTTGAATACTTCACAGCACATAGCAGAGATGTAGTAAATGTGCCCATGGAGTGGATGAATTAATGGGTGGATGAAAGGATAAATGGATGGATGGAAAAAGCAACAACAACCAAAGGTTCTAGGTGGGTGTGATTTTTTAGAATGTAACTTGATATTTTCCTGGTGGCCTGAGGTGCAAACTACAAAGATACACGTGTGTGGGTCTGTAACATATTACAAAGATTTCAAACTAAAATGGAAGACAAAAGTTCCTTTTCCCAAGACTTATAAAAGCCGTTAAGAGCCGTGTTATACTCTTTAATGTATACTTACTGGTTGATAAAGACTCAAACCTATTTATGTAATCTAACTTTCAAAAAAACTGAATGCAGTAAAAAGCTGTCACCTTACAGACTAGCCCTTGCTATATTGGATGACTGGAGAAGGACGTCTGGGCAGACCATTCTAAAGTTGACAGTAGTTAACGCAGTTTACGGAAGAAACTTCCGCACATTTAATCCTGAAAACTGTGAGCTCGCACACTTGTACACACACACACACACACACACACACAGCCATACACCCCACAGTTCAGGAATTTTTTTCTCCATTTTACTGATTCAGAAACAGGCTTATAGAGGTGAAGTGACCTGCCCAATAATCACATAGCCAAGAAGCAGCAGAGTCTATGGCCAAACCTAGGCTTTTGGACTCAAATCCCTTAATCTTTCCCCACTCTGCTTCTCAAACACAAAATGAATCCTAGAATGTCAGGCCATTAGAGCCATTAGAAACTCTTTACCCTGGGCATAGAATATATAGCCTCCATCTGGGTGTCTTTGAAATGCTCTTCCCTATAAGCCTGTTGTCTTGAGGATTGTTCACGGCAGGGAGGGACCAGTGGCTTCTAATCCCTACATGACTGAACAGAAGCCTAGTCCATCTGTGATAAATATCCCTTCCAAGGGCCACAGGTGCACAGGACAGAGCTAGCATCTTTTTTTCTGCCTCAGTGCCGAAACCATCATAGACGCATTTCATCCTCCGCTAAGTCAATTAATCCTTCCTTCCTTCCTTTCTAAATTGTCTTACTAATGTTTGACTATGTCCTTATGCAGAGGTACAATACGCACCGCTCTGACAATAAGCTGCACAGTGAAATGGACAGGCTGCCTGCATCTACTGAAGTCAGGGGGTAAAGGGAGCGCTTCGTTCTTAGTCCTCAAGGGCTGGAAGAGACAAAGGCAGGACCCAATGCCTCAGTGCCACTTTTCCCACCTTCTCTGAACATGGCATCCACACCTGTGGGCTCCCTTGAAAGAAAAGCCCTTAAAGCCCCCTTCAAGTACATCCTATATATAAAGGATAGAAGTGGGGGTCGATGCTAGATTTACTTTGGGGAGACCCTAGAGGACAGAACTAGAGAAAAGGGATGAAAATTAAAGGCAACCAGCCTCATAAGGCAGAGCTTCCTGCCAGAGACGTACAACGGAGAAATGAGTCGTCTTCTGGAACAGTGAGCTTGCCATCACTGGAAGCATTCAAGCAGAGGCCGGGCCACGCCCCCCTGAGAGTGATGTATAAGCATATATTTAGGGAGTAGATGGTCTGGCTAGATAACTGCTAAAATACCCCTTCCAGCAACGGCATTTTTTGTGCCTCCAAGTACTGCCCACTTGAATGCTTTGGGAGATGGGTTCAGACAAAGTGCATCTGTTCCATAATACTTGGCCACAGTACGAGCCTGCTGCCTGGTCACGAAGCATCTCATAGGCAGCTGTTACCACGCTTATTTCAGAAATAAAAGGGGATTCAGAGACAGGTGAGGGACCTGCCGCCACGTGAGCAGGTGCCCAGAGGCCCCCAGCTCCAGAGCTGCCCAGGGTCTGAGCCAACACTATTCTCAACTGGATCTGAGCTCCGTGATTTCCAACCCTGAGCAATGATCCCAACACCCCTGGGACCGTCTTTGAGTTTTCCCCTTCTAGGTTATAAAGTCACACCGTCTCAGTATTGAATAGCCTTTGAAGTCATGGAGTCAAGCTCTCTGGAATCCACAGGAAAGTAATGATTCCCGCTGACTCTAGTTGAGAACTAGAAAATGGAATGAGCCCCAGGGAATCCTAAGAAATTCTGTCTGGGCTCAGGGATACATAGGGCAAAAGTCACAGCCGAGTCTCCTGTCAGCTTGTCCCGAGGAAGCACTGAGCCAGTCTTGGTGGCGGGAACAGGCTGAGTTCCAGGAGTGGGGCAAATGTAATAAAGTTTGTAAGGTTGCAAGGAGCCACAAGAGACAATAATGGCACAACAAGGAGCAATCTTTCTCTTGAAAGGTCTTTTCGTTTCACAGATGGGGAAGCAGCAGAATCTCGGAGAAACAATGAACCGAGAATCAGAAAACCTGGGCCACCACTGACTTACAGTGTGATCTCGGGAGAACCTTCACCTCTTGGAGCCTCGGATGACAATTTGCGCCTAAGCTCGATTAGAGGATCGACGAGGTGAGGGACGTGAAGCGCTTTAACATTAGACAAATGGGAGGTGCCAATATGATCGTGCCTGCTTCGTGTGCTTTTCTAAGGCGAGTTGATTTTTTTATTATTCTCCATTCCCAGATGTGGAAATCAGGGCACAGAGGTACGAAGGAATGTGGGTCCCGTTCCTTAGTGCCAGGACCAAGAGAAGGGGTCTCCCTGCATTGGGAGGGCTCTAGTGCCTCCTCATGGCCCGGCACTTCCTCTCCTTCTGAGACTGACAGGGTTCCACACCTGTCTGGGACAGTGCACCAGACTGGGGAGATTTCCTTCTGTTCAGCTGCGTGAGACGCACGTATCCTGGCAGGACATCAGGCAGATGGCCACTTTCACGTCAACTCGGGAGCCCTGGCACCTACCTCTCTTCTCCGCACACTCCCACTGTCCACCTTCCCCCAGTTGTTGGGATGGTCTCTGCTATTGGCCAAAGGCTGCACCCACCAGTGCTACCTCAGATCAGGAAGTAATCTGTGGCCTCTGTCTGGTTCTCTGCCTCAAGGCAGGTCCCACCATCATCTACACTTTCTAACAGTCCCCAAAGCCTTCTCTCTTCTGCTTCTCCACCAACTTGGCCTCTTCTGCGAAGTTCTCTAACTATGGGTTTCCCCAACACCCCCACCCCCCGCCCGCAGGCTCCCCCTCACCATCATCTTCATTTCAGAAAATGAAATAAAAAAGAAATTCGAGTGACTCATCAGTCCACATGGCAGGAGGGGAAGAAGCAGAGAGAGTGAGTCTGTGGGCCCAGACAAGGATGTCTGCAGGCCTCTTGCCTGCTTCCCGTGGTCTGCTGAGCTTCACGAGAGGGAAGATCGAAAAATCTGGGCGATGCCATATTGTCTCCAAGAGCAGCTAGAGTGAAAATGAAGTGTGACTGCCACCTCCCCAAAATGCAGGGCAGCTCCTGCTTCACGGGCTCAAACGTGGCTCGGCGGCTGGCTGCGCAGCCTCAGGACAGATGCTGCCGTGGCGGTCAGCATCACCGAGCCTCAGCTACCATCCTGGCCCAGGGTTCCCCCAGGCCTCAACGCCACCCTCCCTGATGCCTGATGCCCACTCCATATCAGGCCCCCTGGGGACCCTGAGCAGGGAGCCACCAGGGGGTGCCTGCTTGGGAACCCACCATCAGCCTGGGGTTTGGCAAGCCCCGAATTCTACGCCTGCCGGCTGGCTGGAAACCTGCTAGACGGGGCATCATACCAGGCAGAGCGTGCTCCATGGGGAAGAGCCAGAGCGGGTGGGACTCAGCCTCTCCATCAACAAGAGGGGCTCTGCTCTAATCCGCTTTACATATGGGCATCTGCCTGAGATTTCACTGGGGGAAAAAATAACAACGAGAGTCTACTGCAATTACAAACCAAAGAAAGCAAACAACCTTAAAAGCCCCATCAGTCTAGCCCAGTGTTCCTCAAACACGAACATGCCTCAGCTCTCCTGGAGGGCTAGATAAAACACAGATGGCTGGGCCCCTGCCCAAAGTCGCTGATTCAGCATTTCAGGGTGAGGCTGAGAGTCTGTATTTCTAACAAGCTCCTGGGGGACTCCAGCGCTGCTTTTCTGGGGACAAACTTGAAGAACCATGGATCTAGCCCAAATTTTCCCTTCAGAGCCAGGATAGGGGATTCCTCCAAGCTTCCTTAGCAAGTTAGAGGTGAACTAGCATAGAGCCCACTCTCCCACAGGCCCCCCCTGCCTTGTCCAGGCCTTGCGCTTCACATCCTGCATCTGCTCCAGCATGACAGGGCCCTGGACACAGAAGGCCAGTCTGACCTGGGCTCTCGGGGTGCTTTATCCCTGGGACAACGATCAAAGGGGACCATTCCTAACCCAGAGCCCATGCTCAGAAGGCCTGTGTCCCCCATTCGGGGAAGTTGCATTATATCCCCAGGTCATCAGGATGCTTCTCTGTACTTCACTTATTCAGGCCTTCATTCATTATTGAGCTTTCCATGATCTCATTCCTTTGTTCTTTCTCTCAACACATCCTGATTGAGACTTTCTAGGTGCTGGGTGCTGTCCTAGATCCTGAGATACAGAGACTTCTGAACCTGAGAGATGGGTTCCTCCCTGATCTCAAGGACTTTGCAGTCAGAGTGAAAAAATAAGTCCAATCAAGTTAGTACATTGTGAAGGGGAAAGAAGGGGGTGTGTTGAAAGGTGAATGAAGGAGAGGAGTGGGGAGGGTTTCATCAGGCGGGCAGGATGATGTTAACAGACAAGAGAGATGGGCATGGGGTAGGGAAGACATATTCAGTGTAAGGATTAAACAATGAGAAGTATTTACTGAGTGTTTGATCGCTGTACATCGATTGCTTTCCATACTTCTTTTATCCTCACAACCATCCCTACAGGAGATGCCATTATTAAATCCTCATTTACAGACGAGGAACCTGAAGCTCAGAGAGGTTATGCAACTTCCCCAAGGCCACACAGCTACTCAGACTCAGGTTTTCTGACCCCAGAACCTGATCTCTTAACTACTGTATCATCTCACCACTCTCAGCAAGGGAAAGAGACAGCTTGCTCCTGTCTGGAGGGAAGCAAGGAGTAGGTTTCCTGAAGCACTGGACAGGTGTGGGGAGTAGATGGAATGCAGAGGGAGAGGTAAGCTGGGGCTTTGTTTATTGAGGGGCTTGACTGCCAGGGAGAGGAATTTGAATGCAACTCAGGAGGCTGTGAGGCCACTGAAGGATTTTGAGCCGGAGCGGGGTACACGGCAAAACTGTGTTCAGGAAAATTGCTCTGATAGCAGCGGGCAGATTGGGTTGGAGAAGGGAGATAACTGGTGACCAGAGTCTACTGCAGAATCTCAGAAGCGAAAAAAATGAGGCCTGGCTTGGGGAGGGTGGCAGACATGGAGGGACACTCAACAGCAGATGCTCTTCTTACCACTGTTATTACAAATATTTTTTGACTGCTGACCACAGGTTTTACCTCTATTAACTCATTTAATCCTAATAGCAGCATCTGATCTCTGCCCTTCTGATATTTCTTGACCCTCCTTTATCTACACGCCTGGTAGTTTTCCTATTAGGGGATCAGGGCTTGAGATTTCTTCCTTGAAGACGAATCATGGGCTGAGACAACTCAGGATCAAGAAGTTATGATCAGTTTCAGAACTATTTATTCGCCTCATCTTACAGGTGAGGAAGCTGACGTTTGGAGGGGATCAGTAACTTGTCCCCTCTGACCAGAGGTGGGAAGTCTTCCCCGCCCTCACTTTCCTCTTTCTCCTGTCCCCCCGCTTCCTAAGGCTAGGCTGGAGGCCCTGAAGCTGTGGTGGGTGCCAGATGGCATCTCAGTCACCAGGAAGGAGGACACCCGAGGACCCTGTGGTCAGCCCCAGGCTGGCAGCCCATCCCCACATCACCACTGTGGGCACGGGGCAGAGGCAGTGAGTGAAGGGAGCACGTGGGATAGAGAGGGCGGGAATGCGGTGACTCACGCCCCGTGTAGAGCTGCTCACAGCTGTTCCGAGGGCATCCCGGCCCGGATGAGGCAGCTGCCGTCTTCACTTTGTCAGTCACTCTTGGCCTAGGCAGCCACCACGGTAGGAGCAGAGGGGAGGGAGCTGGGCTGTAAACGGACTGCACTGGGCAGAAGAGCTAGTGCCCACCAGGGAGTTGGAAAACCTCAGCTCCACTCCCACCTCTGCTCTTTGCTCTTTCCAGAGGTGTGAGCTTGGGTATGACGTCACCTGAACTGGATGAGCCTGACTCCTCTCACGTGTTCATGGCTACATTGGAGAGTGACCAGTGAGCTAATGCACGGAAGAAAAAATAATAATAAAGCCTTTTGCAAATCTAGAGGCGTTTACACACGTGTCTTAGTCCGTTCAGGCTGCTACAATGAAATACCACAGACTGAGTGGCTAATAAAGAACGGAAACTTATTTCTCACAGTTCTGGCGAGTGGGAAGTCGAAGGTCAAGGTACCGCCAGCACGCTGGCGTTCTGGTGATGGCCCACTTCCTGGTTCACAGCTGGTACCTTCTCACCTTGTCCTCAGATGGAGGAAGACACAAGAGAGCTCTCTGGAGCCCCTTTCATAAGGCACTAATCCCATTCCTGAGAGCTTCTCCTTCGCGACTTAATCACTTCCCAAAGGCCCTACTTCCTAAAATCACCTTGGGGGTTAGGATTTCAACCTATGAATTTTGGTACTATTATCATTGTGAATGCTAATATTAACATCATTAAACATTCTCCAAGCAAACATGGTGGTAAAATGTTAACATCTCTCTGCGAAGGGTGTGTTTGAACCCTTTGTGCTATTTTTGCAACTCTTCTGTAAACTTAAGATTACTTCAAAATAAAATGTTTTTAAAAATGTTACATTCTCTGTAATTACATTCTCTTTCATTCAGCCAAGTTCACTATGAGGCAGGCAAACGTCGGGAAGATCGCTGCCTCGTAGAGCTGACATCCCAACAGGCAGAGACAAATAGTCATCAGCACAAGAAATACAAAAAGTGTCCTGTTAGAAGGTGTTAAGTCTTACGGGGGGTAAAAGTAGGATGGATAACAGAAGAGGGAGCAGATGTCCTAGGTTTGAGGTGGTGGGGAGGGACTTGCAGGCTGATGTATCAATAGTCAAGGTGGGCCTGACTGAGCAGACTCTAGGAGGGAGGGAGAGGAGGGGATTAACCAAGCAGATATCTGGGAAGAGCCTGTCAGGGGCAAGCAGCCAGGAGGCCAGCATGGCTGGGGCAGCGTGGTCGGGCTGTGGCCATGGAGGGTCATAGGAGATTAGGTCAGGGGGGCACGGTGCAGCCACGTCCGGTGGGGCCTTGAAGGCTATTTGGAGGCCCTGGGATTTCTCTCTGAAAGAAATGGGACACCAAGGCAGGGTCTTCAGCAGAGGAGTGACAGAATCCAATGCACATCCTGCAAGGGTTATTCTGAAAATATACGAAGGAGCACAGGGGTAGAAGCAAGGAGACCAGGTAGGAGGCGACTGCAACAACCCTTAGGGATGGCTGCAGGGGGTGAAAAGTGACGAGATTCGGGATCTGTATTTTAAAAGTGGAGCCAACACAATTTCCTTGACCCAAATTCAATTTCTAAGTCCCCTTCCAGCCCCCAAACCCTTTGACTGCGCTAGAATTCCATCATCTCCTCCACAAAGTCCCCTACCCAAGCGTGGAGAGAGAGACACCGGGCTACTTTTTAAAAATAGATACAACTCTTTCAAGGGTCCTGTTTCTCTACATGATTTTTTTTTCCCCTTTTCTTTCTTTCTTTTCTTTTTTGTCTTAACTGAAGTGTAGTTGATGTACAATATTATATGTTACAGGTATACAATACAGTGATTCACAACGTTTAAAGGTTATACTCCATTTATAGTTATTATAAAATATTGGCTATATTTCCCATGTTGTACAATATATGCTGGTAGCTTATTTTATACCTAAGAGTTTGTACCTATTAATCCCCTACCCCTATATTGCCCCTCCCCACTCCTCTCCCCACGGGTAACCACTAGTTTGTTCTCTATAGATATAGAGAGTCTGCTTAGTTTTAGTTATATTCACTAGTTTGTTGTATTTTTTAGATTCCACTCCCCCACCCCAGTAAGGCCCCTCCCTCCACTGGTTTGTTGTCTACATCTCTGAGTCCGCTTCTTCTCTGTTATATTCACTAGTTTGTCGTATTTTTCAGATTCCACATGTGAGTGATATCACACAGTATTTGTCTTTCTCTGTCTGACTTATTTCACTTAGCATAATACCCTCCAGGTCCATCCATGTTGCTGCAAATGGCAAAATTTCATTCTTTTTTTTATGGCTGAGTAGTATTTCATTGTGTGTGTGTATATGTATATGTGTGTATATATATACCACATCTTCTTTATACATTCATCTCTTGATGGACACTTAGGTTGCTTCCATGTCTTGGCAACCATAAATAATGCTGCTATGAACACTGGGGTGCACATATCTTTTTGAATTAGTGTTTTTGTTTTTCAACATGATTATTAAGCCCACATGGAAGTTGTGACTCCCATTCCATGGCCCAAGGTTTCTGGGATGATGTTTACTCAGTCCTATTCTGTGCCCAAGTATAAGTATGGCGTGAAAGAAAACAAAAGAAAAGTCTGTCTTTCCCTCAATCAGAGGAACTGACAACCCCAGAGGCCAATCCAGAGGACAATGGAGAGGCTGGAAGTGTCCATAAAAGAGAGGTCTGAGTAAGAAGGTACCCCTCCAGGCTTCCCTGGTGGCGCAGTGGTTGAGAGTCCACCTGCCGATGCAGGGGACACGGGTTTGTGCCCCGGTCCGGGAAGATCCCACATGCCGCGGAGCGGCGGGGCCCGTGAGCCATGGCCGCTGAGCCTGCGCATCCGGAGCCTGTGCTCCGCAACGGGAGAGGCCACAACAGTGAGAGGCCCGCATACCGCAAACCAAAAAAAAAAAAAAGAAGGTACCCTCCATATGAAGTGTCCGGTCCCTTAAGGACAAACTCCATCCTTGTCACTGTACCACACTAAGACAAACATGCATGATCTGTCATCTAGACAATCCCTGTAATCTGCCACCTGGTCTCCAGCAATCCCCTCTCAAGCCTCCCTCTGCATTGCCACCAGATGCATGGTCCCCAAGCGAAATGAGGATGGCTCCTCCTGCCCTTGCCCTGTCTTTGCACCCCAGTATCTATGTTGCGTCCCAGCTTTAAGGACTCTCCTCCTTAAAAACCACCCGCTGCTCTCCCAGGTGCCCTGTCCATGGAGGAGGACATTCAGTTGGGACAGGAGGCTGAGATCGATCTGGAGGCGTCGCATTCTCTTGACCTCAGTTCCACCTCAGCACTTACAGCGCGATGCAGCCTTCTTCACTTCCTGCCCTAATTGCCGTGCAGTGTTACTGTGGTCTGTTAAACAGCTGCCACCTTCCACCCCAGACCTGGATGCCATCCAAGGGCAGGTGAAAATATTCCTCTCTTCACAGAAATTGTCTGTGGAAGAGGAGCTTTCTGGAAGAAACATGCTCAGAAAATGTGCAGCATCACTGGGGCCCATCCACTGGTTTTGACCTGTCTCCGTTCATTGCCTTGTTCTTTGGAATTGGTCACCCTGTTGGCCTTTCCTCCCCCAACCACGCCCTTTTGTGCTTCCTTTTTAAAGTCTGTGGGCGAGGCTAAGATTTCTGACCTAGAATCATGGAAGAGCACAAAACACTTCAGTGGTAGAGATCTCAGAGGCCACCCTTTCTTCTCCTTTCCCCCCCGCCCAGCCCCCGACACAAACGTGATTTACATCCCCAATACAGGAGGCGTATAAAGGCAAAGTGCCTTTGGCTGAAGAGCGGTTAGGGGGGCCCAGCTTACTTGCCCCCCTCCTCCCTCCTTCAGTGGTGCAGAGACCAAGCTACCAGACCCGTAAGCCCCTAATTTGCTCAAAACTTTTCATTTTACAAATGACGATCGTTGAGGCCTAGAGGCTTATCCCAATTCACTCAGTGAGTCAAAAGAAGAGGCAGGATTAGGACCCTGATTTCTCGCTGCTCAGCTGAGGTGATGTAAAGAGCTCGGGCATTAGGTCCAGGTGCAAAGAGGTCCATGTCTCGACTTCGAGCCCTGGGAAGGCCGTGGCAGCTGTGTGCTGGAGTCTCCCCCTGCCCACACCTCCTAGAGGCAACATTGCACATCTCCTCCCACCTCTACTTTCAATGAGTTCATGTTGAAAGCTTGAAATTGGCCATGGTGAGAAACTGGCAAATACTACAAATCAGGCCTTCCTCTCTCCCTCCCCCCAAGAGCTGATTACTAAACACCACTGGTTTGGACATATTCAGTCTGCTTTACCAGGTCCTGAAATAGATCTTCTTATGGAATGTGACCCTTGCTTCTCAGTCTTTAAAGACTTCCAGGGAATAGTCATGAAATGGGAGCACTCGAGACCTTTGGGATGGTCTTTATCCAGAGAAGACAGGCTTAAGTGCCTGAAGAACCAGTTGAGAAAGTAAGTGAGCCTAGCAGGTCAGTGGAAGAAAATAAATACAGAATGGTGAGGAATGTGGTGCAAAAACCCCGAAGTGTTTAAATCAACAACAACAATGGTGTAGAGTTTGCTGGGGCCGCCATAACAAAATTATAGTCTGGGTGGCTTAAACTAATTTACTGTCAAGGTGTCAGTAGGGTTGGTTCCTTCTGAGGGCCGTGAGGGAAGGATCTGCTCCAGGCCTCTCTCCTTGGCTTGCGGACAGCAGTCTTCAAGTTCACGTGGCATTCTTCCTGTATGCATATCTGTTTAATAAGGACACCAGTCATATTCGATGCCATTTTAACTCGATTCTTTCTGTGAAGACCCCCATCTCCAAAGAAGGTCACATTCTGAGATGCTAAGAATTAGGACTGCAACATATGAATTTGGGGGGAAACACAATTCAATCCATAATATATGGGCAGGACAAAAACGAAGTTGAAGGTCAGATCTGACCTGCTGACTGTTCCGGTTTACAGTCCATTGTCTAAATTTGACAGGTGTGGAAACTAAAGCACTGAGGGATGAGAGTGGCTCTCTAAAGGTCACAGGTAGAAAAAGGCAGAGGCAGGCCTCCAGCCAAGGGCCCTTCTTATCCTCTTATTACCTCCTCTGACCTGAGGCTATTTCACCCCGTGTGTCATCTTGACACCCTTGGAGAGCCTGTAAGCAGCCTGAGGGTAGAGATGTATCTGGTGCCCGGTTCCAAACTCCCCACAGCTTATAGCACGGGTGAAACACACAGCAGACACTCAGAAAACCCACGCTGAGCTTTATCAACCTCAATTCTCTGTCCTTAGCAGAGGGTCTGGCTGCTTTGGAGCTCGAGGTGAATTGCTGGCTCCCGCACCATCGGTTGGCCTTAGATGCTTTGAGGCCTCTGTTTTTCATTAATGCTTTCTTACTACCAAACAATGAAGTGAGGTCAGAGAGGACAGGCAGTGGCACAGGATCCTCCCACTCTTGTTGATAGTAAGAGCAAGAAGAGTCAGACAATTTGGTTCAAATCCTACACCTACTAGAACAAACATCTGCTAGAGGGCAATCACTTACTAACCCTCGCTGAGCCTTGTTTTTCTTATCTGAAAATTGGGAACTAAAAACATTTAGCTCGTTCAATAACTCATTCATGTGTTCCTTCAACCAACATCTTGGGGGTGTTCAATGTGCTAAGAACCGCGCTATGGACTAGGCTTGTAGTGAAAAGAGACATGGCCTCTGTCCTCATGAAGCTTACACTTTAATAAGGAAAACAGATTGGTGTCTAATGTTATGCTCTGTGGCAAAGCATGATAGAGGAAGAACTGCTGACTGAAGGAA